CATTCATCTTGACCAGCTGTGCATAAGCGAACACAAACATGCACATACGAATACAGAGACATACACACTCACATGCATCAAAGTTGACATATGACCTTAACTAACCAAATCACTTTATGCCTGATCAGAGACCAGATATAGACTATATATACAGAATTTTAGGGATTTGCCGGTGAGTTTTCTTGACTCGTTAACTTCAATTTTGTTGTGACGATGTTACCTCGCTCTGATGATGTCCGTCACATGACGGACGAAAGCTTGGCACCTTTTCACCGGAGTCGAAGGAGATTGCTTTGGAAACGGCGTCAGCATGAATCTGCCAGTAAGGCCAATCGACAGCTGGTCAGGAGCAATCCGCCGTCGTCTTCTGGTGGAACCGACCTTCGAATCTCTTCACTCAACACTTCCACTCGAAATAGAAGTAAGCTCAACAATTAGGATAAGGAACGACTGGTAATTGAATTTTCCCACAATAACGTGTGAACTATATGATTACATTGAATTTGGCATAGCCTTGCTTCGCAAAAGATATTTTCATCCATGATCGAAACTGCATTCCACTCCAGCCTGGATGAGAATACCTTTTTGGAAGCAAGACTATCTGAAATTCAATGATACCGTAGAGTTTACACATAATTTTTGGGGTTATTCAAGTACCAATCTTTCATCGCCTTAACGATATAGGGAGACTAAACCTCATGTAGATTTGCCAAGTTGTTAGTGGAATGAGTTACCGAAATGCTTCGCAGGCTTTTGAAACGGCGAGTGGAAGGGACTCAAAGATTTGCTTCCCAAGTTCTTGGCACACTGGCCTGCGACCCTGTTGAATTAGTGCTGAGCTCTCGTCTATATCACATTGCCTTACGAAGATTGCGACTAAAAGTGAAATGAACTTGAAGAGGTTTTTCATAGTCCAGCATATCTTCATGACTATGTAGGAGTTATTTTCACATAACTTTTCATTTAGAAGAAAAAGTGTGTTGGAAGAAATTCGTGAAATGGTCTAACTGAAAACCGAAGTAGTATCGCCGCGAATTGAAGAATGTTGCATTGTGCAAAAAAGTCCCCGGTTCACCGCCCTGTCACCCCAATGAACCTGCGCTAATCTTTCATCTGTACTGCGACGCACATCTGCATAACACAAATGCATACTTAAATAAATGGAGCAAAAATATACCAAATCAAGAGTAAAAGTGGTCGACTGAAACCTCATTCGCTTTTTCATACAATTAACTTTGCCATCTAATCCTTGCAGATAAGTAAAGTTTCCTTACGAATCGAATCATATATTTGTAGGATATATTAATATTATATTATTATAATATTATAATAATATAATATAATTATATATTATAACATATTTGTATATATTCGTGGCCAAAGTTCCATATATATGTGTGTGTAGATTTGTATGTTGATGGACCAAAAGGGAGTCTGCTCATGATGCAGAGCCAGAGAGACTTGTGCTCATGTCCATCAATTCACAACAATGGGGTATTGTTTCGGCCCATCTGATCCCGCTCAGGCATTGCTCGAGTCCATCTGACTAGCTCGCTACCCCTAATTTTGCCATGTGACCATAGCAACCCAACATTGTGTTATCATCTGCTCAACCGGGACACAAATTTCTAGTCTATCTGATGCCATATTCTCCTTCATGCCTGTCAGGTTTGCGTCCTTTCATCTGCCGCATTTGCTCGAAAGCCTTCAAGCACAAGCACCATTTAACGGAACACCGGCGATTGCACACCGGCGAGAAGCCGTTTGTCTGTTCTCGTTGTGGAAAACGTTTCAGCCACTCGGGCTCCTATTCACAACACATGAACCATCGCTACAAGTACTGCAGGCCTTGAGGCAACGACGTAGGCCCACGACGTAGCTGAGCTGAGCTGAGCTGACCGTGTCGGGCACCGCTTCACTTCGGTCGACGGTCCTCCTCAGCCTCGGCGACGAAGATGAGCTGACTTCGCTGCAGGCCCCGAAAGCCCTGCCTCCGACGCTCAGGTCTGGCCTAATAATCACAAACCCTCTCTCTGGAGCATTCTCCCTCAATCCCACACTCCTTTGCGATTCTGCTGCTCTCTTTCACACTTTGTCTCGGCGGCACTGCCTTCAGAGTTGACTCCATTTTGTTAACATATCAGATATGCTCATCCGTCCATCTACCGGCCAGTCAAGTAAATTGCTTTGCCCCTTTCAGTCGTCTAGTCCATGCTTTATTTTTTTATATATCTCCATCTATCCCTGGTTTTCATCACCTCTACTCACTATCTTTAATTACTTTTTCCCAATTTATTTAGGCCTGGTTATCCACGTCTCTACCATTTTTTGCCTTCACCAGTTCTTTTTCCACCTCCAGTCCACATTGTTTCACACCTTTTTCACCTTAAGCACCATTTTAGGTGATCATTGCTTGCCCATCTTTCCACATTTTCCCAAATGTCCATCTACCCTATTCTCCCATTTTCCATTCCCTCTGGCTCCCCTGCTCTAGTCTGATTTATCTCTCTATCTCTCTCTCTCTCTCCCTCTCTCTCTCTCTCTCTAACAGACACAAGCGCACACACGAGCCCTTAGCCCGCCCTATGAACAGAGAGACCCATGCATGAGCCTATAGTCATGCCAGGGGCCGTGACAACCCTTCAACATGTCTACAAACAGCCTACCAGGCGGACAGAGACGCAATGATCCCACTTCTCGTTGTTCATGCCCACTTGTGTGCTTCCCATTTGTGCGCCTACTTTGCGTCTCTGCTGGGATTGCACCATTCATACTCTTCATTTCCTCCTTCACCAATCAGCTGGAAGAGCCTCCATGTTTCCGCCTCCCACATGTCTTTTGCACAATCACAGGCACGATCACATGCTGTACACACGGATGATCAGAGCAATGTGGCCCAACTGAGCCACGGTTGCTGTATTATTTGCTATTTTTCATATACACCCTCAAATATGCACACGCGTTGACGGACTAAGCATATGCAATGATATTGAAATATTTGCAAAAATGACATCACACAGAATTGAGGCGAAAATTTGGTCCACTACTGTACACTTTAGAAGTAGTTTAGTTAAATGCTCAGACCTAAAGACCAGATAAACGACTAATATAGGATTTTCATTATCATGTGTGATCAATACGTCTAATTTCCTCACTTCACAATCGTCTGTTCCAAGGACAGGCCAAGTACCATTCTAATCTTGATTTCTCTACTATTCATTTTTTTCTTTCTTGTTCTGCTCCACCCGTTGAGCGCACCAATCTTGTTGAAGTCACTTCAATCGTCACGACAATACTTTGTTCCTCGTGATTAGTTTTCCCTTTGCCGAGGACAGAAGTCTTGTGTACAACACAGTGAATGGATAGTATCGCGCGGAAGAGCAATTTCGATGTTTGTTCGGTTGTAGAAAATCTGGAGAATCTGGTTTCCAAGTATGCAGGACAACAATAATAGGATTACAAGTCTAAGAGGTTATATTCATTGTCACCTTCAACGAAAGGGCTCTTTGGCAACTTCTTCTCTCGTCGTGTGTATTCTGCATTTTGGGTGATATTTTCATAAAGAATCAGACGCCAAAGCGTACAGATTGTAGGTTCCTTTACTTTTACCAACGCATTCACCACTGTTCCTGTTAATGCTGTTGTTACTGACGCCACTGATTGTCATACTGCTGGCGTCTGCATGGCGACGTTGATTACATTCGTTGCTTAGAGGTCCTGGCACCGATTTGTTCGACCATCCTCTGGCATCCTTCACAACAAATGTATTAGACTTGTTGCTGTCGCGTTACGGTGCTTTGCGCTAGCCATTATGAAATATCGTGGTTTTTAGAATTATGTAAATATGAAGAACTTTCATTCACTGACAGCTCTGAATAGACGTTTGCACGAAAATGTGTCCAAATCGAGTTGGTATTGGAACTGATAGAATGAAACAGAATAATTCCTGCTCCAGAAGCAACTGTGGAAGGGCTCATTTTGCATGTGGTCCTCACATGTTTCGCAACGTGTTTATATGCTTTCTTCGGGCAGCCAGAGAACGTGACACCTTATGCTTTTGTTAGTTTGGAGGATCGAGTGATCAAGAGTGATCATGGCCGCCAAAATCACCTTTGAGTCAAGGTTGTACCCTGCGTTGGGCTGAGTTGTCAGGACTCCGTGTGTGAACTGTTTCTACTTGGCTTAAGAGAGAATAATGAAACAGTTAAAATGCAGGTGGCCATCGGTGCCTCCGAATTGTCTGAAAGGGAGCAGTTAGGCACTCAAAATGGCCTCCTCTTTGCCGGCAAGCACTTGTAAATAAAAGTTGGGTTTTGAGGAATATCGTGTTTCATAATTGTTGTGTTTACTTGCATTTCGAGTGGAAGTGTTTGGTGAAGAGATTCAAAGGTCGCTTCCACCAGAAGACGACGGCGGATTCCGCTTAACCAGCTGTCGGTTGGAAGATTCATGATGATGCTGTTTCCGAGGTGAAAAAGTGGCAAGCTTTCGTCCGACATGATGGACATCATCAGAGCAAGGTATCATCCTAACAACCAGATTCAAGCTAATAAGTCAAGAAAACTTACCGGCGAATCCCTAAAAAGTGGTATATTTACTCTACATCTTGATCAAGTATACAGTGATTTAGTTAGTTAAGGTCTATGTGTCTGCTTGTGTTCGTTTATGTACGAAACCGGCAGTGATAGCTCAAAGTAATGACGACAGCAAAAGTAACGTCTGTTCTCGGCCATCAAGGTTTGATGACCACTATCTCCTTTCTCGAAATAAACCAAATAGGAAATACACTGAATGTAAGGAATACCGGCAAGAAGATAAGTAAAAATTTCTTTTAGAAGTGGGTTGACCTCGTCGCAACTTGGTCCTGTTGTCAGAGCGATTATGTAGAACGCATAGTCGCCCTGACAACAAGACCAAGCTGCGATAACAAGGTTAACCCACTTCTATAAATCGAAAGGAGACTGCGACCATAACAGAGGCAACATCATCTTGATCTTCATATATTCTATAAAAATCACTTTGCTTAATTGATATACTGAAGGAGAGAGAGAGAGAGTTAGGCCGCCTGCCAACTAAAGGCGACGCAACTAGTCTTTTCTTGTATTGGTTCTGACCATAGTCACTTCTCTGTACTTTTAGCTAACTCTTTCTCTCTCGCTTTGAGACCAAAAACAAAAATAGGCTCATCAACGAAACCAGACGAGTGTCCGACTTTGCGAAATCGCAGTTATGGTTATAGCATGTATGTAGAAAGGGTGAGATGGTGGTCATCATACCTTGATGAGCGAGAGCAGGCGTTACTTTTGCTGTCGTCATTATTTTCAGCCATCACTGCGGGTTTCGTACATAAGCGAACACAAACAGACATTAGCTAAATCACTGTATACTTGATCAAGATGTAGAGTAAATATACCACTTTTTAGGGATTTGCCGGTAAGTTTCCTTGACTTGTTGGCTTGAATTTGGTTGTTAAGATGATACCTTGCTCTGGTGATGTCCATCATATGACGGACGAAAGCTTAGCACCTTTTAATCGGAGTCGAAGCAGATTGCCTCGGAAACAGCGGCAGCATGAATTGTCCAGTAAAGCCAATCGACAGCTGGTCAAGAGGAATCGGCCGTCATCTTTTGGTGGAACCGAGCTTCGAATCTCTTCACCCAACACTTCCACTCGAAATGGAAGTAAGCACTACAAAAAGGTTATGAAAATATGCCCAAGCAGGGCCAAATAATGACCAGCCCACATTTGCACGTCTTCCAGTTCCGATCTGATGCGCGGTGTTTATCTTGGGCGAGACATTCAATTCTCCTTAAGCTAACATCTCGACGAGTCGTGCCTCTTTTAAATGGCGAAACAACACGCAAGCCAAGCAGATTTTCCATGAAAAGCATAAATAATAGTTTACGGGACAGATCGGAACTGCATAATTTCGATTTACGAGGGGCTCATGAGCAGATGGCAACAACGGGAAGTCTAGCACAAAATAAATATTCAGCAATATGGGATGTCCACAAATGTTAGTTCTCAATAGACACTTTAATTGGTTTTTATAACATAAGGTATCCTAGTGAAATTAGGAAGCATCATACTATTGAATCGAACAAAGCTTTACCTTACTCAGAGGGAAATGCAATTTCGGCCCGGCTCACAAGAGTGGACTCGAAGTCGAGTCATGCCAGTCAATTGACGATATTTTGCCCAAGAACAGAAGGTCAGTAGGTCACATCGGTGGGATAATACGAGCTTGTATTCATCATTACACTCGACGGGGCTACTTATTCTCGAGGTGAGTAGTTCTTGAATGTATCAGCAATTCTAGACTAGAAGCTTGAGTCCGCCTAAGCGGCTCAAGATGATTTTAGTACTGATGATGCAATTTCTCACAAGAAACAAAAGCCGTATGATGCCAGTCAAGTTGGTGGTGGTTGGTCTTTCTACATACTTCCTCTGTACTGTTTCGACTTTGCCTGAGCCTCTGTGCAAGACAAGATGAGTATCCTGACGAATGATACCCGAAAAAACAGTTTTCCTGGTTGTGGGGATTAGGGTTTCTGGTGTTAGGCGATACTGCACCCAATGGAATCACACTTGACAGACTATTGAAATGAAGTTAGAGCCCCGAGAAATGATTCTTTCTTCACTTCGCTTATGCACGAAACCCGAAGTGATGGCTCAAAGTAATTAGGACAGCAAAAAGTAACGTCTGTTTTTGGCCATCAAGGTTT